AGATGCAATCATCAATTTTTCCTACTTCTCTAGGGCCAAACTCTACAAGCCTTATAAAAAAAAAAACCATCTGGCTTTCTAACACACACTCCATACTGATCTTTATTTTCTACATGCTGAAGACAAACTTTTTCAAGTATTTAAAGACTGAAATTTGGGGTTCATTAACTGCAGTTAATGTTAGCTTGCCAACAGTTGTCTGTTCGTTCAAGTAAGACTGTTTGGTGTAGATTTCTGTACACTGAAATCTGAATCTCAATCTTTTTTGCTTGTCTGTGTTTAAGAAGACATATATCAGGCTATCATATCATGGCCAGACCACTGCATTTGTGGAGGGCTGTTTGCCTCTGTCTGGAGAGAAATTTGTGTTCCATGGCCTAAGAAGTAAAGATACCAGTGCCTCTGAGACACAGAACAGAAGTTCCCTCAAGTGAAGGAGCATGCGGACACACAGCAAAGGAGCGGAGCTGCAAAGCAGGCAAAGAAATGTACTTGCAGACACATTTGGATCCAAAGTGGACAAAATCCTTCTGCCCAGGTTTGTTGTTATTACTGTTTCCAGGTCAGCTTTTAGGTGTAAAAGCTCTAGAAGCACTATGCTCATAATATACTTTACTAACTCTCAATTTTAGCTCCATCTATTTAAAAACATGTCCGAGGCAGTTCTTATTGCAACAGCGATTCCAGTGGTAAGAAAACCAAAAACAGGCAATGAAGCTGTCAGCAGAATGGCTTTTACCATTTCTTGGGTTGAAGCATGCACGTTTATGGGGTCAGTTAAAGCAGCAAAGCATTTCAGATGCAATCCTAAAATACCTACCAGGCTGAGCTCAATATTAATTTAAAAAGTCATAACAGTCAAGGCATAATTGTATATAATCAGGCCATGCAAGTAAATGAGGAGGCAGCTTATTTACAGAGACTATTCTGTTGGCAAGAAAGCAAGCATTACCAAAATGAAACTAATAGAGAACTCTGTGCCAATATTATACATAATTGAACAGCATCCCAATTACATTGCCCTTTTATGTTTTCTTGAGCTGCAGTGAGAGATGGGAGAGACTCTTCCATATCTGTGCCATGGCCTTTATAGCCTCTTACTCTCCTTCACCATGGCTGCTCCTCTCCCTTGCCAGCCTGTATTTACAATAAAAATTAGAAGCATTTGTAAATATCTTTCCTGTTTCTTCATTAAACAGTCCAAGTCTCCTGATGCAGAGCTGGTATTTGCATCCAAGGGGGGGAAACCAGAAGCAAACCAGGGAAATGCCTTGCTCGAGAGGCAGGGACCGCATGTCAGAACGTGGGTTAAAACTAAAGAGGCTTTATTCTATGTTCATACTGCTACATTGTAATTATCCCACTACAGCGTTAATCTTGGCAACTAAAAATACCGTAACAATGATATACATGAAATCAGTTAAAATTGCTCTTCCACTAGGGGGGATGCTGTGCCTCATGCGATTTTCTCTGCATCTGGAAGATCCATAGGCCCAAGAGCAAGACACCAGAACAGCAACTCAAAGCCCTGCACGTGGTGGTAGAGAAGCTGCTGCCATCATTTCCAAACCAATCGTCACACTGAACAATCTCAGCCACAGAAATCACTTCTTAATGTAAGCTTGTATTTATTTTTAAGCAAACATGTTGCTTTTTAAGACATGCTAAACAGTTAAGATTAAAGCCATGGAAAAATAGACCCACCTTACTTCTGTTCCTCAAAGCCCCCCTTCAAGCGTGCACAGGTTTAAGCAGAGGCAAATACCTCCATGAGAGCCCAAAGAAGTTGGGGGAGAGGATACAGGGTAGCTATTCCTCCCAGGAGGCACCAAAAAGCAGCCATACTATTTCAGTCTCAAAACCCTGAACTACTTTCCTCAAGAGCCCTGAGGATTTGACCCTTGCCTAAGAATATCTTCTCTCTGGGAAGGGCAAGAAGAAGAGGCAGCCTAGTGGGGGGGAGGGGAGGAAGAAAGAAGGGAAAGCTGCAGGTGATGGTGTGAAGGGAATAGCAGCCACACAGGGAACAGAGAAAAAGGGACACCTGACTAGTGCGTCACAAGAACAGCTCTAAAAAGACAGAAAATAGTTTCTTAGTGCCAGAGTGGAGCAGGTGGAGGAGGCACAGTGCTGCAGGGCTCGGTGCAAAAGCCGTCCTGTGCAAATTAGTTGCAGGGCCATGGCCAGCAGCAGCACACTGTGGTGGATCCTGTCAACTGCCTGGTGGCCCGCAGGTGGCAGGGATCCACAGCTTTTAACAGGGAAAACTCAGGGATGGGCCACTTTCTCATGAGACTGATCTGTCTTTCCACCCCACCAGCCCTGCTCCTCACCCCCATCCCTGGCACAGCTCAGCTTCGGTGGGTGGGAGACCATAAGAGCAGGCAGCTGCCAGCGCACTGACACCACACAGGAGCACTGATATATCTTGCAATACCAGCCGATTTTCCCTTCCTCAAACAGGACAGGGATCTGTCAGCCTCACCACATTCAACAAGCAAGCCCCTCACAAAGTAGCTTGCTTGTCTAAGAGGTGCAAGCAAGATCTTCCTCCCCAGACACACCGGTTTGAAGGAGCCCGTGCACCAATGCCAGGCCCCAAGATAACCAAGGACATGCCAGGGCACATCGCGTGGCCTTTGCAGCTTCCCACCTTCCAAGCCCACCCTCCAGGTCCAGGCAGCTTTCCACCAGAGCGAGCTTACAGCGACAGCCCTACTGGCTGCACTGCTGCGAAAGCTGCTGGGGGTTACCAGGCTGGAGAGGGCAGGACAGTATCTGCTGCTCTCAAACAAGAAAGAGTTTCTTCTTTGCCTCTGCTGGCAATGCATGAAGCTGTTACTCATCATTCTGCTGTGTTTCAGAATACTATAACTGAAGAGAGCCATCTCAGTTTTCTGCTATCACATTAAGATATCTCCTCCTGGCCTCCACCAGCCTCTCCATTCCACTGGGTGCTGGGGGAGTTTCACCTAAGAAAAGCCCTGAGAACCTGGGCCACAATTTCCACAGAGGGGAGTCCTGGCACTGCAATGGATCAAGAAGGATGAAAGGAATTCATTCCTCTGCAAGAATATAAGATGACTGCTGAATATGATCCACTGCACAACACCAGAACCCAGATAATTACACTGACATATTCAAGACAAGCACTGCTCACATATGCAGGGCTGCCTGGAGTTTTTTCAGTGAAGCAAAAATACCATCATAACATCATATTGCCTTAAAGGCTGGGGGGAGGAGGGGAGGAAAGAAACTTTGTAGTGGGGAAAAAAGACAAAAAACCAAAGTTTCTTGGGAAGAATGGGGCAAGAGGCTACAGTCTGGTAGTTCTGGCAGCAGCACAGATGTGGGCATACCCAAATTCAAATCCTTGTTCTGCTGGATCATCAGACCCATCCTGGATGAAGAGCCGCTACAAGCATGGCAGAAACTGAAACCCACTCTACCTCCCATCCCCTGCAAGCCCTCTGGATCTGGACACCAATACAGGGCTCTGACTGTCAAAGGCAAGACAAGGCCAGAGGATGTCACCTTCTCAGATTAGCACCTCCGGGACTACTAGCAAGAAGAAGAGGTACTACCCCAAAAATGCCATCTGCCTTGGCACCTTTCCTGAGCCTCTGCTGACCCAGGAACAACACAGACCTAGGAAAGGGATTTCCACAGGCTCCGTGAAAAGAAGAAAGAGAGGAGAATGGTCTCTGTTTAACTGGTTCTTATTCTTCCACACAGGAAAGCTGAACCTGGGGGATACACACTGAATAAACAAGACCTTAGCCTGCAGTCCTTCAACAGCAATCTTGCATGCTTTCAGTTTACAAGTCTTTGGTAAGAGGGGCATGTAATGTCTGCAAAGGCATACCTCATGGGTTGGGTCCATTTTGATTACTTCTCCTCTAACTGCTCCAGTTTGACCAGACCTGAAAGATCAGACTGATTTGCCATACGCAAGATGAAACAGGACTATTTCTTCAGACACAGTTTAGTTATCAGCAGTAGGTAGTATCTGATGCTCCTCAAGTATTGAAATATCAAAATTAGGGCAACCCAACATTATGGTCCTATAGTCCTGTAAATTGTATAATCCTGTGTCTGTGAATAGTGGGACTAAACTAATCACCCCAAACCAGGATATATAGCATGCACAGCTATTAATGTTACTGATAATCAAAGTTACCTAATCTGTTTTATCACACCGTTTGACTCCGATCTGGCATAGCAAAGAACACCAACATCTTACCCACTATCTCCAGTAAAAGTAACTGCGAGTTTCCAGGCACCTACGTTGTGTATACAAAGATGTATGCATCAAGGTGACATTCATTAAAAGAGAGACTGTGCTGAATTAGCCTTAAACAAATTGATAGGTACAAGAAAGAATATTGTACATTTGCTAACTTATCCCTTTAAACTTGGTTTCCTTTCATGGGATTTGTTTCTGAGAAACAATATTAAAGGTAACTTTAGATAAGATACTTTAATGCCTCCAAGGAAGTAAGAACTTCTCAAACTTCTGGACAGATTTTCCAACCATTCTAATAAAAAAACCCACACAACACAAAATCAAGACTGCTTTTCAAATACACGGAACTTTAACCTACAGGAAAACTTCCAAGAAGGATATGTGTTCACTACTGTTCAGGTTTCTGGAATAAATCACCTAGTAAACATCTCCTATTTCTCTCCCGTTACTTATGCAAACAGACAGACAGAGTACAGTCTTGCTGTAGCTGGTTTTCATTTTCATCATGGCTACAGAAATCAATACAAACAGCTCAGTAATTCCCAGTTGTTCTCTTTACAGCACAAAAGCCAAACACATACACGTTAATTGTCTGGTGTAAAAAAAAAAAATCCACGCGCACCTCTCAAAGGCTACGCTTGTTGTGGTTCCCAGGCTTGCACAATCTGCTGGGTGCACGAAGACGACACACGTGGAGCTGGAAGCCACCACATCCCCGTCTATTTTGCAGTTGTTGTTCACAAAAAGTTCCCACTGTCTCAGCAAGCCCAGGAAGGTGAAAGCCAGTCCAACAGCATATACCACGTTATTCAGGCTTTTTTCACGAGTAGGAGAGTTACCCCATCTTTTGGGGTAAAGTCAAATAGAAAGGTGCCTAAGGAGCAGCTTTAACGAGTGTTCTGGGCAATTTACAGGGATTTGTAGTCGAAGCCAGCCCTAAAAAGTGGCGATTAATTGCCATGGCAACGAGGGCATCACCAGACAGGCACTCGGGCTGGGATACAGGGGCTGCAGCGTGCCCCCATACACTGCACACACATCTCAAAAGGGTGATGGGCTCCTCGAGGAGCTGCGTTGTTTGGGCCCAATTATTCCTTTGTAATAGACCCTCTTCACAGGGGACAGGGGGCTCTGCCCCATACCCCACTCTTTTTTACAGGGAATCTTGCAACCATGGTGCTGCCCTGGCTTTGAAGGCACCCGCGTGTTGCGGAAGAAGGAGGAAAGGGGAAATGTTGGACATGCATGGAAAACAAAACTGGGGGTAGCATGTATTTTGGGATTCAGGTAGGAATTAATCTTAAGCTTTTTCCTTTGCTGCTATTGTATTTTCTTCACTCATTTCATGGGTCTTTTACAAAAAAAAAAAGAGATGTCCCTCCCTCTTTCAGTATACCACTGCGTTGTTAAGAGCAGCCAATGTGTTTATATTATATCCACATGTGCAAGCTAGTTCATTGCAAGGCACATGGCAATCTCTGCCCACCTGAAATCACTATAATCATTAAGAACACCCAAAAGGCAAAGAAACAGCTCCTTCCCCCCTCCCTCACAATTTATTTCTATGCCACAGAAGCATAATTAGACACAGAGAAACAAAATGAGATGGAGATTTTTTGCTGTGTCCCTCTGTTCCCAACAACTGGGATTCGAACACTGGCAGAATTTACCTGGAAGCTTCTTCCCTGGCTTCCTGCTCACTCATTTTGGTATCAAACCACGAACAGCTGTACATTCTAGCACTGCTGGGGTTTTCTTGGTTTTGTTTTTTTTTTTTCATAAAATTGTGTCCCTCTGTTCCCAACAACTGGGATTCGAACACTGGCAGAATTTACCTGGAAGCTTCTTCCCTGGCTTCCGGCTCACTCATTTTGGTATCAAACCACGAACAGCTGTACATTCTAGCACTGCTGGGGTTTTCTTGGGTTTATATTTTTTTTTTTTTCATAAAAATCAGCGGGGCCTGTACTCCTCCTAATAGAGACCCTCCCAGTCTGAACACAATTGCTCGACTTGCCCACAGGACATGCAGGATTATTGCTTAGGGCGTTGGTTTTTTTTTTTCCCCTATCAATCAGGTACCAATCTAGATTGTATTTATTTACAAGCTGTTAAAGATTTAACTGAGAGCAGGAGTGCAGCAATACTAGTGGTTTCAGCTTCTTCAGAACAAGGCCAGCCCCAGCAAACAATCCAAGTTTGTGTTGGACAGCATCTGGGGGATAGAGGGGAACCAAGAACCAGAGAAATTCCTGCATTAGGGCATAAAAAGAAAGGAAACCACCACAGCTGTCCCATGGCAAAACTTGCTGTTAATACTGTCATAAAAAAAATACTGATGTTAACACCCAGATGTGTAAGCAACAACACATTCAGTTCTTCATATGAACAGAAACACTGATCTCTGACCTGAGCCACAAAAGTGAAACCTACCAAAATTCCACTTCAGGGATCAGAAGATGCTCGTCCATCACCGCTCATAAAAGTAACCAGCCAAGAAACTCAAGTACAACCTCGTATTTGCTAAAAGCTGGATAAACTGCAATGTCCCCCCCCCTTTTTTTTTAAACAAGAAAAATCACAACCCTAAGAGTCTTTAGGCCCTGATATGGAATTTCTATTATCACTTCCATTTTTTTCAACAGTATCACAATAAAGAACTGAATAACAGGAGATGTTCTCTGTTGGGATTTATTAATCCCTTATTTGTCTTCATGAACAGTATACAACTATACTGGTTTACGCTTACTGTCTTCTACACCGCTTGTTTTCCTCCTTACCTCTGTCCGCTTGTGCTTTTGATGCTCCAAATCCAACAGCTTTACCTGTTGCAGCAGAGGAGAAGGTGTTGTGAAGCAATACAGGTGGACTGCGCAGCACCTTCCCACAACAGTACTGGCAAGCGACTGCACAACGGTGTCCTAGGAGGGTACAGGGTCGGTTCAGGAAGCAGGACTAACAAAGAAACGCTCCCAGGAAATTGTTTTTCTTTATTAGTGCAATCTGCCTACCCAGAAGGAGCTCTGGTGGGACTATTCCCAAGGTGAACAAATTCATGGGTGCTTTGCTCTTTAGGAATTCTTTCAGCAACTGAAGCCATGGGATTGCTTGTCAGAGCACTCCCTCAAAGGCTTTTGGTAAAGAAAGTGCATGGCTGCCAGCTTTTGGGAGAAACAGAAGAGAAAAAGAGAGGCCAGGGAGCAGCAATAGGCCTCTAAGGTCACATCGGCCAAATAAAAACAGCTATTCACAGGGCACCATATGCAGAAGGCTGTAATACAGCACACACCATCACACAAAGTGGGACAAATCAGCTCAGCAGCCAGCGATCAATTGCTGTTTTTCTAATCAGCAGCAGCAGAGAAGTTACCACACACCTTGCCAGAGGGGCGCAAGCAAGTTATACAGCCCACAGTGGCACTGCCACAAACTAGATGTAGTGATATTAGATCTGCTGAGCATGCACCTCTATTTCAGTTGCCATGCGAAAAAACAGTATCAGGGATAAGGTTCCCATTCCATCTTCTAGCAACATGGGAAACACACAGTACGCTTATACTAAGGCTTTGTACACACATCCATCCCCACTAAACTCACCCCTGGCTAAAAATAAATAAATAAACAAAACATATAACAAGGAGGACTGCTGTCCATTTTGGGCTGCATCACACCTCCACCCTCACCTCCAATGGCACAGTATACAGCAGGTACTTACAGGCCTAACAGGACACATTTTTCCTTCAGCTCCATCCAGGCTCCTGCTACCAAACACCAGACCTCCTTCTTTTTTCCTCTCCGAGTACAATCACATTGCTTTCCCCCCCCCCCATTTAAGCGAGTAATGAGCTCCAGCTGACTGTTTACCAACTGTTGATACTCACCTGGGGTCATCACCACTCCTCTCAAGGAGCACCAGGGTTTGTAACAAGGGAGGAGGCAGGACAGCAGGACGCTGAGGACCCTGGTGGTTAACAAGCCATTAGCTCAGCCAGGGTATTACAATATAGATGAGCCAAATAAGCAGCTTGTGACCATAGAAAGAGATACTTTCCCTGCCTTCTTTCCAGTTTCTTTTACCTCCAATCCCTATTTTTCCCATGTCCTCTGCCCCTGCTCTTCCCTGTTCTCCTGCTCACGGGCTTCCTCCATTCACCAGCCCAGGCACCAGTCTAATCAAAAGTTAGCTATAGATCCAGCAACAGCAACCTTTTTCAGCCAGGTTAATTCTCTGCTATTTTAGTGAGCTGACTGTGAGATGTGACAGGAGCCAGATTTGGCTCAGCAAAAGCAGAAGGAGCAATTTGGCCAGGAGCAGGGAAGAGACAGAAGCGAGACCTCCTTTTGGCAGTCGGTGAAACTGCGACTTAAGACAAACTCATTCCTCAGCCTTAGCTCACGTTTATCTTACTCAGTTCTGTGAAATGGCTGAGAGGGTGAATCTTCACATTTGGTAGCGTACTACCCTCTCCTAACAACTTCTAGGTACCAGTTCAGGAGTGGCTGGTTAGGAAATGGTTTCCTCCCCCAACCACTACTTTTTTTTTTTACAGTCTCTTATTAAACCAAATCAATACTTGTGTGTGCATGCGCATTGTTCACGTAGCGCTGTATATTCACGTCGTAAGTATCTAAATAATAGTGTCACGATCCAAACCTCAGAAACTACCGCAGGCTCATCTCTAGCACATCCCTCGCTCCTTCCTCCTTGTTAGCAGGGTTTCACACGCAGCATGGTGAGCTTCAGCCAGCATCAGCTCTTCACCAAATGCTCTCTCGTGCGCTGTCATACACATGCCTCCAATGGAATCGCTGTAACATGTCTTAGGAGGCAGGAAAGGAGGTTAGCTCACTGACCCCTGTCACACCTTCAAATCCCTGTGATGGCAACGCCTTCTGTGTTTGGGTAACACGGTTTGTGGCATCATCTCCAGTGTCAGAAGAGCTTCAGCAACCCCAGCCCCACTTTCTCTACAGACGCTGGTTCTCACCCCCGTATCAGCCTCTTCACCATGCTAGTCCATGTGTTTGTAGCTGCGTGATAAACCACACTGGAGAGAGGATCCTTCCGGAAAAACAAACCATCACCAACAGAAACTTTTTTTCCTTTTTTTTTTCCCATCTGGATCAAGCCACCGACCTGGCTCTCCACACCACCGCTGCAGCCAGCTCCACCAGCACAACAAAGGGGGAAGAGGCTGGAAGACAGGGACGAGAGCAAGCATGAGCAGCTGGGAGTGGGGCAGGGAGCTCCTCTGCCACCCCCCAGAGCCCCCCTTGGCAGTCCCAGCCACATCCAACACCAGTTTCAGTGCCAGACCACTGCAGGTGCCCTGGGGAAACCCCGCCTCGTGTTCTGAGAACAGGTACCTCAGGGAAGTTAGGCGCCTTTGAAAAGATGCCACCCCCTCGTCTCCCAAAGCCCACATGTACCACACACATTAGTCATCTTCTTTCTTGGCAAACGTTTGCCCATAAAGTTTCAGAGAAGCACCACAGTAACTGCAGACCAGATGCTTCTGAGTACTACACTGTATTTTATAGCACTGTATAGCATTTTACAAGCATTAACTAATCAACAACTCTTCCAGGTAGTTAAGTTTAATTATCCTCATTTTACAGGTGCTGAACCAGACCCAGGGAGGTTGAGAGATTTGCCCAAGGCCAAAAAAACAATTGGTGTCCAATCCTGGACTGTAAATCAGGCGCTACCTTACATAACTGCTCCCTGAGCCCCTCCTTGCAGCAACAGGCGAGCTCCCTTCATCTGCTGCTGCAATACCAGCTTCTCCTGAAAGCAAAACAGGCAAAAGCCCACCCCTCCGTGCCCTTCATTGCAACAGGTCGGTCGAGCTGCTTTTTGTCCACCAGCTTTCCTGTAACTTAAGTCAAGAGCAGTCAAAATGAGACAAATCAGCACACTCAGGCTTTGGTCCCAAACCCCGTGACTCAATCAGGCAGGCAGTATTCACAGGGCATCTCCCCACCTTTCTAACTCCAATGCCAACTTCTGCACCATACTTAGATATGATGTTTCTGGGGTGATTTTTTTGCCCCCTTGGTTTCCCTTTATGAGCGGACTGGTCTTCTTGTGCACGTTGTTGTTTTTTTATCAGGCTTCAGCTTTTAATACCCAGCAACCACAGTGATGCACAAGCAGCAGCTACAGTAGCAATAGTTAAGTCCAAGCCAAAAAGTGATGAGATGAACAGTATAATGGGTAGATACAGCAACTTTTACTAGAAAACAACAAAGAAAGGCTGGCTGGAGAAGAGTTAGTCTTAAGGAGCTTCACCTTACAGACCACTGGATGAAACATTATCTCTTTGCAGCCGCTGGAGATTTCTCCGCCAAAACATCTGGTGAGCTGCTTTGGATTGGATTTAAAGGCTGGGCTGAGGTCAACCGGTCTCTGTAATTCTCTTCCTGTGAGCTACAGAATATTTCTGGAAGCTCAAAGGAAGGAAGGGTGGTATCTCCAAGCACCACTGGTGCTGCGATGGGAACA